AATATTGTTTTAAGAACTATATATTTAAAATTAATATTTAACAAGTTCATTAAGAAGTTGTAAATAATTTTTTTGATTAAAAATTTTTTTAAACTTATCTATTTTTAGCTTATAAACAGTCTAAACTTTTTTTCTTATACTATAAAAACTAATTTTGCAAAAAAGTAATTCTTATTTTCAAATATAATTGTACAAAGTTTTATTTAAATATTTTAGCATTTTAAAAAAGTAGATCAGAGCTAAAAAAAAAGTGCAAAAACACAAACAAATTTGCCTGTATTAATTTACATATTAAGGGATACTATATTTTTTGTCGGGGATAATGCTGAAATTGGCTGATGCTAAAATTTAGAGTCCTATTTAAATCTATAATACCTACTAAAATTCACATATTTTTTTTACTAACAACACTAACCCTAAAAAAAAAACCCCCAACGAAAAGGCTCGAAAATTTTTAAAATTTCATAATAAAATAGGCCAAAAGTTCAGCATCATCCGATTTCAGCTTCATCCCCGACAATAATTATAAATTACTCAGATTTTAAACTAGTCTACTTTTAAATTTGTATTAACTTTATTTACCAATTAGTCTTTGTACAGTAATTTTTTAGCCTGAATAATAATTGCTAATATTATTACGAAATGTAATAAATATTTAAAAAAATCCATTAATAATGGTGCTTTCGACAAGTTTTATTAGTTGTAATAAGGAGCATGCAACCTATTAACGTTAAATGTATAAACTTCGATTTATCTTGTCAACTATTCAAATTTTGGGTTATCATCTTTATTAAATATTTTAACGTCCAAATAGTTCAATTGTTATCTTTCTATAATCACACTTATTTTCACTTTATTTTGGTGTAGGAGACATATTAATAAATTCACTCAATGAAAATGCCGAGTTTGGCGTTGATAAATCAATTGCAGAACGAATTTGATGTGGTGGGGTTCTTGGAGGGTCGAGGTCAGCAGTTGTCAAAGGAACCCTTGTCGAAGATGAAGCCAAAGAGGCTAGTGTTTGAACATTTGATGATAATCTTGAAGGTGTATGTGGTGGGGAAGACGCCAAAGGCGATGATGGCAAATTCGGCAAATGAGAAAGTATTGCATTGGGAAAATTAGAGTCAACGGCTGCCCAATCGTCTAAGGCAGCTCGGAAAATAGTGCCGGGGGACATTGCTAATGTTTGAGTAGATTCCGTGGTGCTGTCTTTGGGTGTCTTTTCGTCATCGTCGTCTTCATAAGTACTTGCAGCCAGAAGTTCATCAAGAAATGTATCAGGTGATATGGAAGTTGCAAGTGTTGATTCTGCACCTGTATTGTCTTTTTGTGCGACGCTTGAAGTTGCCCAAAGTTCATTGAATAACTGTCCTGGAGACATGGACGTCGAAGCTGTCTTTTGCGGGACAACGGAACTTGCAGTTGCCCAGAGTTCATGAAATAATGTATTTGGTGACACCGAGACTTTTTGTGAAGATAAAGAATTTTCACTAATAGTTTGTTTTGAGCTCATATGCAAATTACTTTCTGTAGCACCGAAGAAGTCTTCCATCTCAACGTCTTCATTTGTTGAATGTACAGACGGCTTTGGGCGCTTATTCTTTCCTTTTCTGGTAGTCATGGTAATCGATTTTCTCTTCTTTGTTTTCTTTTTTTTAGTATTTTCCTCCAAAGCTTTTAGAATAACTTCAGAAACCACCGGATTTCGGGTGATCACGTGATTGGTGGCGTGACTTGGTTCCGGAATCTTGGAAGTGAGTGGGATCAAAACAGGAGGCGGATGCAACAATCCTGTACTTGATTCCGTTTGACTCGATATTGAATAAGGCTCATTAATTGATTGTCCGATCATTGGATCAATTTTGTCACTATCCCTGTACGATCTGCTTCGTTTGTGTCTCGAAGATTGGTCGCGTGATTTTTTAGATTTAGTGGTTAATTTGCTTGGCTCAATAGATCGTAATGATGTTGTCTCCAAAAAAGATTGTCCCAAATCTTGTGCACAGAAATTGTCTGATCCAATAAATTGCGAAGTTGTTAGTAAAGATGACATCGGATCTTGGTTAATACATAGATCTTGCGACGCCATTTCTAGTGAATCTAAATATTCATATATTGCGGCAGCTTTCGATCCAGAAAGCCTAGTCTTAACTTTACTTTCTGATCCATTGCTGTATTCTATATATTGTGGAGCCACTGGTAATTCATATTCACGAGTTGGTATACTATTTTTAATCCTTCCTAATATCTTCGGAACGGGAATCGCATTTATACGCATTTTTTCTTCAAATAAAATTTCACAAGTCGCGACATCGTATTTCTCCCATCCATTTTTGATTTTAAACGTTGCATACTCTAAGCCAAGTCGTATTCGTTTTGCGACCTGATTTTATGATCAATCTGTTAATTATCTAGATTTATTATCCTAAATCAAACGATACTCTGTTTTTCTATTAACCATAACTTAAAATAAGCGAATGTTTCATCAATTCTTTGCTTTGATGAACTTCTACGTGGTCGTATTTACCTCTACAATATCTATATCTTTTCGCGTATATTCACCAAGTGGATCATTTTTAAGCTGTTCGATAAGTGCTTCCAAGTCTTTATCTTCATTAATTTCTTTGTCGGTTACTTTCGAAAAGTCCTGCTTTCAAACATTTTATAATCACTGTTTTCTACGATAAGACAATTCGAAAAAAGAGTTGTTTTACGTGACTTACCTCTAACATGGTTAAATCTAAGTGTTAATAGATTGCTGCAAAGTACTGTTTTAAACTCACACACAATAATTTTGAACACCTTAGGAGAAATTGTATTTTCGACAACTTAAGCGCGTCTCCTCGAAATAAAAGATAGATTCTACTTATAAATAAATCGAAAATTATGCCGTATAAATGGGTAGGACGAAACAAAGATAATGGGAACATATGGTGTAACTGGAATCACCAAAACAGAAACATAACACGCGTTATACACACTACAGCAATCTGCATAGTACAGACCATGAGTTTCTTTACCATACTGTTTACCGTTAAATTACGATAATCTTTTTTGTTAAACCGACAAAAAAAACTTTTTTTTTTGTTATTTAATTTTCTTTAAGTTATCGTTTTGATTCATCTTTGTACTTCCATTATAATATGTTGTAACATTGCTTTATGAATTCAGATAATAAAATTTTAAAATATCTTATGTTAAACTATAATCCATTACATTATCGCTATATATGTCGATAACTTCATTTTGATCGGTAAAGTTATGGTTACCAAAGAAGACGATAAGCCAGAATCAGGCATCTGGTTTTTACCTGTTTAGATTTAAATATGTTAAACAAATGATTTGCTATCTCAATATGTCAAATTGTCTAATTAAATTATTTCTTTGTCTTTACGATGTATTTTTTACTGAATAATTTTATCTGTTAACTGAGGTTAAAAAACTACTCTTGTTTTATATTTTTATTAATTTTATATTTATATTTATATATATATATAAACTTATTTGTAATACAACTTATTTTGAGTTAATTTGTAATAATGTATAGTAATTTTAGTTAATTACTATTTTTTTTTTTTTTACTAAATATATTTAAAGTATATATATAGTTTATATATTAATAGTTACAGAACATGTTTATATATAAAGGTTTGGATTATAAATCAAATAAGCTAACTTATTTTAATTTTAAATATATACTGTATTTTTTAGTATTTAATTATCTTTAGTTAGATTTAAATTTCAATTTTTTACTACAGTTTAGAAATCTTTAAATCATCAAGTCACTAATATAGCAGCCAAATTTATGCTTAAATTACACAAAAATAATTTAATATAATTGGCTACAATTGACTTAATATATAATTAGTTATAAAATAAAGAGAAAAAGACAAAAGTGAAAAAAAAAAAGAAAGAGAAAAATAAATAGAAAAAAAAGAAAAAGAGTGAGAGAAGTGTATAAAAAAAAAAAATTATAAAAAAATAAATATGAAATTTTTTTTAATAATAAAAATAAAATTTATTTTTAGCCAAAATTATATTAAAAATTTTAACCAAAATTATATTAATTTCAAATAATTTTAATTAGAATTAAGATGATTAAAATTTTAATTTATTAATAAATTTGGTTAATTTTAAAAGAATATAACTTTATTAAATATTAATTAAATAAAAAAATTAACTCTATAGCTTTGTTCTTTAGATTTGATTTTATTATTCTATAGAGAGATTTTGTTTATAACTATTTTAGTTTTTTATTTATCCCTTAATATTGTAATATAGAAAGCTGGCCTTGCTAACTATACTACTTGACTTAACGTGAAGAAAGTAAGGATATGTGTATACAAAAGATAAAACTCAAATAAAATTCAAAGAAGATTCAAATATAACTCAAAGAGAATAAACTCAATAGGTATAAACTCAAAAATAACTCAGAAGATAGGATATAAAATATAGGAAATAGGAAGAAAAACCCAGGAAAGTACAATAAAAATAGAATAAAAACTCAAAGAAAACTCAAGAAAAACTCAAAAAAAACACTATAAAATCACTATAAAAACTCAATAAAAAGAGCATATACATGGTAGTGGGTATATGGTCAAAGGTATAT